GCCCGCCCTCGCATTGACCAGCCCCGCGCCCACTGAGTCGGGGAGCCCTGCCTCTGACAGTGCCCAGGCCTCCCACCGTCCCCACCCTGGCCCATGCCTGTGCTGGCTTTAGTCTTCCCGCTTCCACTCGCACCCCACCCCGCAGCTTCTGGAGCCCGGACCACTTCACACATGCCGAGAGCGTGCGGCAGACACGCAGGGCCTGCAGCAGCTGCTCTCGGTGTGTGATGGTTACACGGAGACTTGCCATTCCCCAGCCTTACTGCCCGAGCACGTGCACTGAGCGGACAGGGACCAGGCCTGCCTGTGGGTCTGAAAGACTCTCCCTGGCAATCCTGACAGCAGGCGAGATTCAGAACTCCTGCCTCCCGATCACAGTCCACCGGCCTCCCGCAGGCCTGGGCCGTGGCTCCTCCAGCACCCAGGCCCCAGCACACCAAAGTCCTCGCACTCCCAAAGGCACTGGGCCACTGCGGCTGCCTGTGCTCGCTCCTCACTCTTCCTCCTGCTCTCTCCACCCACAGATGTCTCTCCGTACCTCGAGACCCAGGAGGAGCATGGTGCCATGAAAGCACTGGCCCAAGTACAATGGCCTACACAGCCCCGCGGCTCAGAGGCCCGGCAGCACGCCGCCTGTCTGCACTGCCTCACTTCGAGGCCTCACAAGGGCTGCCCCAAGGTTCCTGCCCATGGTCTCTCCAAGGCATGGCAGCTGGTCCAGCCTTCCCTCCTGCACTCAGACACGCCTCCTCTGTCCCGACCCCGCGATCCCCGGAGACGCCCTGCGGCCCAGCACTGCAGAAGCTGAGACAGACAGAGCAAGTGCTGGGACTTCTCACATGCAATGCAACACACTCAGCCAGCTTGGGCCAGGGACCTGGAGCACCACGCTCGTGTCACCCAGGAGAGCCTGGCTTACAACCAGGCAGTCCCCAGGAGTGCTGGCCCCAGCTGCCAACCTCCCTTCCCTCCTCCTGCCAGGTACAACTGGCCGGGCCACGCCCTCTCACCAGCGCACCTCCAGTCGGGGCAAGAGGAACAGCTGTGCGCTCCCTGTGCAGTGCTCTCCACCACAGCACACTGCACCCAGGTGAAGTATGAGGGATGTGCTCAGAGAACAGGACTGAGTGGGAGGCGGGCACCTGGGAGCATGCCAGGCCCCGTGCCCACAGCACCCTCAGGTCACTGCAGAGCAGGACCTGCTGGCCTGGGTACAGACCAAGGACGAGCCAGGACAGCCTTGCAGTGCCAGGGAGGAAGCCACCAAGCTGCAAACAGAGCCCCCCTCAGTCCTAGGAACAGTAGGGTCCTGCCCCCGCAGAGCGAATGGGGTGAGGGCCGGGGAGCGTTCTCAGAGCGGCTCGGCTACGGGCGACAGCAGGCCTGAGCAGTGGGCCGTTTCATCCCTGCCTATCAGGCCCCGGCAGGGCTCCACAGAGCAGGCACAGGCTAGCCCCCAGGACCGAGCACTGAGACCCTGAAAGCCTAGGCTGAACCCAGAGGCAGGATGACAACTCCCATGGCGTGAGGCCTCCTGCGACCCCTACAGAAAGCAGCTGCCAGCCCACCCAGGCCCCCACCCGTGCTCCCTACTGCTTTTCTCCATGGGCTGACTGCAGAGGATGCAGCTCCATGGGACAGGGTGCACGGCCTGCTCCACACCCCGTGCCCAACACCAGCAAGCAGGCTAAGTCCCCACAGTGCTGGGGCAGCGAGAGGGCCATGGGGCAGCGGCCCGCACAGGCCGCCTGGTCACCTGGACACTGAGGCTCTGGGCCTGCAGGTGAGGCAGGGTAACGTTCCTGTAGTCGGCCCCCGTCTCGCGGACCAGGCAGAGGTCCTGGCGTAGGTACTTCTGCAGGTGCTTCTCGGTGGCAGGGTACACCACGGTCGTCTTCACGTCTGCAACGACACAGCAAGGCCAGGCTGGAGGGCACAGCCCACGCCCATGCCACCGCGCCACGGCGAGCTGCGCCTCCACCGTTTGGACTCCCTGGCAAGAGGGGCAAAACCGAGGGGTCCTCGCCCACCCCACTTCCACAAGGCACCTCGTGCCACTGAAGCTATGGGCTGAGCCATACGGGAGCCTGGAAGACCAGGCGACCGTGGACGGGTGCTTGGCCCTGGCCAGGCCAACCCTAGCCCTGCCCTCCCATCCCCCAGGCTCAGCATGGAGCAGCTCTAACTCCCGTGCATATGCCAACTTCCCGAGTATGTGGCTTTCTGGGCCCACGTCTGAAAATGTGGTTGAAGCCAAGAAGCCGCACCCACGATGGGCCATGAGGAGACACAGGGCTCAGACAAGGCCCGAGCGGGGCTCTCTCAGGTCAGGCCCTGCTCTGCACATCCTGGTTCGCCCCGCCAGGACCCCAGCCCCAGCGGGGAACTCAGTCCAGGTGGTCAGCCTCTCTGGGTCCTGACCACGTCATCTGCCAACAAGGACAGTAACAGCTCCTGTGCCAGAGGCTGGGAGGATTAGGCAGGGCAAGTACCGGAGAGGCAGTGGGGACAGCGTCGGGCACTTGGTGACACCACGCCTGTGGCTACCTTTTTTTTTTTTTTTTATTGCCCTTTTGCAAGAGGGCACATGCACTCACCAAGAGAGACACTGAGAAGTCACTCCCCAGGAGGGACTGTCACACGGCACTCCTCTCTCCTCCATTTTCCGCTCAGGATTTTGGGCACACACACACACACACACACAAGCATCCAGCGTGAGTTTTAAGCCACCGGGTCTGGGACTCGAACCACAGACTACAGAGTCCGGTGACACAGCCGTCACGCTGTCTGCTGGTCCCACGTGTGGCTCTCTTTGACCCTGGCTCTCAGTCTACACTGGGCTTCCATAGCCCCTGCTGGAGGCCCTGGTGAATAATGGAGGCTCGGCAGCGACTCAGCCTCCACCCGGAGGCCAACAACACCTCCCCACAGTGGTAACCAAACTGTCCCCGTCGAGAGTCCTGGTTCTAAGCAGAAGAAAGCCTCGTGGTCTTGGAAGAGACCCTGGGCTAGCGCCCTGCTCCAGAGCACCTGGTCTGGGTTAAGTCCTACCCTGATTCCAACATGTGGACAAGGGTCATGGCTGTGCTGACACTCGTGGTAACAGCACTTAGGGGCAGGGAAGGGGAGTGAGCTCCAGGACCAGCTGGAACTAGTCACAGCACAGTGGTTAACACTGTCCGTGGCCATCAGACCCAGCACGCTGGCCGCAGTTCAAGCCCCAGCCCAGGCACGTGTGTGCCCCAAATCCTGATAGATGGGGAGTGGAGGTGGTGGGACTGCAGTGTGACCATGCCCCACTGGGACGGGCTTTCTCCCTCACCCTCTCCCTCTCACCTTCTCCCTGGCAAGTGCATACATTCTACGGCAATGAAAAATAAACATGGGTAGGGATGTTCCTCAAAGGACCCTTGTTCCTCTCTGCTTCCATTCCCTGAGGTCCAGACACACTCCCCCCCGGCAGTCCAGAGCGTGGACACCCGGCAGGCACGCTCACCACCCAGGAAACGCTCAGCCTCGCCCGCAACTCCGAGCCCGGCGGAACTACCAGCCACCACTTCGGAACTGGTCTAACGACAGAGGGCTTGGAGCCCTCCCTTTCCAGGTGAGCACAGGCCATCAACAGGGTCAAGGGCGGAGCCCGTTTCACGGCACATGGACGCAGAGGCAGCACGAAGCCGAGACTGTCCGACCCGGTCCTGCCACACAGCAGCCAGGACGTGGGACAGGGCCTGAGCGTCAGACGTCCCAGCACCTCAGTCAGGGAAGCGAGGCAGCAGGCGGACGACGCAGACTCTGTGCTGGGGCCACGACACCCCTTCCCAGTGCGGAACCTGGGTGTGCAACTCACCACCGGAGTCTCGGTTTCCTCTCCTGCCGGAGGTGGCGTAAAAGCAGCCTCAGAGCTGCTGACGGCAAACGGCATCGGGTCCAGAGGACTAGAACAAGTCGCCATGCCTGGGAGTCCCTGGGCCTGACCCCGAGGGGAGCAGGAAGGCCCTTCCCAGGCCCAGCCAGCAGTGGGGAAGCACTCCGAGACCCCGAGGTCGGGAACACCAGAACCAGCTCGGAGGTGCCCTCGCCCCCTGGGGACTGCGAAGCCCAGGATGCTGTGGTGTCCCTTCTCGTGGCTCTGGTCCCCTCACCTGCACAGCCTGGGAGATGGCGGGAGCACAGACTGAACCTGGTGTCCCACAGCGAGCCCGATGGCCTCGGGCAGACAGGACCTGGCTCTGGCCTGCACCCTGCTTTGCCCAGGAAGGTACGTCGGGCCCAGGTGGAGGAAGCCTCCGCTCAACACCCATCTCTCTCAGTGCTAAGTCTCACGCTGGCAGCCAGGAGACAAGCGTGGGCGTTCACCTGAGCTGACGGAGATGCTGACCTGCGGCTGCACTGCAGGGGTGTGGGGCAGAGCTGATGCCAGCAACCACAGGGCCCCAGAGCCCACCACAGGGCGGCCATGCACGGCCTCGGCAGGGCTCCGCAGACCGCTGCCTGACGACAGCTCAGGCCAGGGAGCCTCGGGAGGAGGCAATGAGAGCTGGCGGCACTCCCGGGGGACATGCGGACACTGCTGTCTCCTGACGGGACTGCCGTGTGGTCTGATCCCAGGGAGCCACCAGAGACCCAGAGCCAGGGCTTCGCAACGCTTTAAAAGCATCTAAGTTAGGGATGACCAGAGGTCGAGACCATGGGCAGCATGGTACAGCGGGGACCGAGGCCCCCCACGCAGGGTCCACCCCGGCAAGGCTCAGGTCCGCATCCCAAGATCTCCCTGCACACACCAAATGTGCCGCCTCTCAGAACTGAGCCCAAGGGGCCAGCAGCTGGCATGATGGTGAGGTGCTGGATCCTCACATGGCCAACCACAGTTCGAGCTCTGGGTCTGCGGCTTGAAAATCATGCTAGTCACAAGTATGTACACACTGAAGTCCTGCGAGGAGAATGGAGAAGGGACTGTGGGGAGATCTCTCGGGTGCGGAGTGATCTCTCCCTGTCTCTTTCCAGCAAGCACACGTGCCCTATGGCAAAAACTCAAACTGACCCTCAGAGGCTCAGCCATGTGCTCAAGGCCATGCAGCCGAGGAAGCCCAGAGCTGGGATCTGCCTCAGCGGCCGGG